AGCTCTGCGACTTCTTCCGCTTCGGTGTCAAGTATGCCGAGGAGCTCTACGCCCAGCAGCCCGCTCACCACGCTCCCGGCGTGTGGAACCGTCTTGAGTACCGCCCTCTCGAGGGTTTCGTCTACGCCATCAGCCCCTTCAACTTCACTGCCATCGGTGGTAACCTTGCTGGTGCCCCTGCTCTGATGGGTAACGTCGTCATCTGGAAGCCTTCGCCCTCGGCTATTGCCTCCAACTGGCTCGTTCACCAGATCCTCCTTGAGGCTGGTCTCCCCAAGGATGTCATCCAGTTTGTTCCCGGCGAGGCCGAGGAGGTTACCAGCACCGTCCTTAACAGCCGCGAATTCGCCGCTCTCCATTTCACCGGTAGCACCGACGTCTTCCGTATGCTCTACGGCAAGATCTCCCAGGGTGTGGCGGACGGCAAGTACCGTAGCTACCCTCGCATTGTTGGCGAGACCGGCGGCAAGAACTTCCACTTGGTCCACAAGTCGGCCGATGTGCGTAACGCCGCAGTCCAGACCGTCCGCGGTGCCTTCGAGTTCCAGGGCCAGAAGTGTAGCGCCACTTCCCGCGCCTACGTCGCCTCGTCCATTGCGGAGGACTTCGTCCAGCAGGTTGTCGCTGAGGTGCAGAAGATCCAGATCGGTGAGCCCTCCGAGTTCACCAACTTCTGCGGCCCCGTCATCCACGAGGGCTCCTTCAACAAGCTGGCTGGCGTCATCGATGAGGCCAAGAACGATCCCGAGCTCGAGCTCCTGGTTGGTGGGTCTTACGACTCCTCCAAGGGCTGGTACATCCAGCCTACCGTCTACCGCACCTCCAACCCGGACCACCCTCTCCTGTCCCGTGAGCTCTTCGGTCCCGTCCTGGTTTTGCACTCCTACAACGACGCCACCGAGGCCGACTTCACCAAGATTTGTGACAAGATCGACACCACTGGTAACTACGGTCTGACCGGATCCGTCTTCGCTCAGGACCGTGAGGCCATCCAGGTTGCTGATGAGGCCCTCCGCAATGCTGCCGGTAACTTCTACATCAACTGCAAGAGCACCGGTGCCGTTGTCGGCCAGCAGCCCTTCGGTGGTGCCCGTGCCAGTGGTACCAATGACAAGGCTGGCAGTGCCAACCTCATGTCTCGCTTCGTCAGCTTGCGCTCCATCAAGGAGGAGTATGTTCCTACATACACCGTTGCCTACCCCAGCAACGCCAACTAAAGGAGTGGATCCTACCCTTTTCAGTTGACATCGCATGCTTTATGATCTCATTGGCGTCAATCTTGCATCCCACCCGGCGTTCTTTCAAATTGTCTCTACAAGATTCCAAGGAATCTCAAATGTATCCATGTCTCAAAGACACCATTCCATGTATCAATTATTACCAGTCAAAAACAAAATCAGAGTTTATCATTCCATTCCACCCAAACACCTACCCCACCTCTCTCTCTCTTTACCCCCTCAATCCGTAGCACAATTCTTTAAAAAGGCCTGCATGTTCTTCATAGCCTTATTAGCAAATGACCCCATATCGTACTTCTTCCCAGTCCCCTGCGGCCCACTATCAAAAATCTCCATAGAAAACCACCCTCGGAACCCAGTCCTCAGAACAGCCCTAGCAACATCCTCAATAGGCAAATACCCGCCGCTATATGGCATAGGCCGATAATCGTGACTCCACCGACCCTTCGCTCTCAACCCACCAATGGTCTTATCCTCCAATGGCGGCGAAACCTTATACGCATCCGAGATCTGCAGCAGATAGATCTTATCCGCGGGCACCGTCCGAGCGAGCTCATCCATGCTCGCGTCAAACCGCTTCTTCAGCTCGGATTTCGATACGTCTTCCACTAGTCCTGAGGACGTGGTTGGGTCGGCCCATTCGCTGCCTGCTGTTTGGAATGTGTCGAGGCATAGACCGCAGTTTGGGCGGTCGACCGCTTGCACGATTTCCCATACGCTTTTCCAGTCAGGGGCGTGGGTGGACCAGCACCAGTTTTCGTAAGCGAGGCGGTATTTGCGTTTTGAGAGGATGTCTGAGAGGGTGCGGAGGTCGGAGATTATTTCTTCTTTGTTGCATTTGAAGTTGGGGTGTTCTTTGGGTGTATCTGTTGCTCCGACCTGTTTAAGATTTAAGATTTATTAGTCTGCGTCCTTCAACATTCTTGCCGGTGATACGCTATAACTTGAAAATGGCTGGTTATGTTTACCTGTAACATATCTGTCCCGACAACATCCATAATCTCCATCCAGCTTGTCGCACGGGCAAACGCCTCTTCCCGCTCTACCGCACCCTTACTCCAACCCTCGAAGTTCGAGAATGGCTGCAGCATCATGATTGATAGGTTGTTTGCTTTGCATAGCTTGCGGATGTCGCCTGCCACTGGGAGTAACTCGGGGTAGTTGTTTGGGGCGACTTGGCGGCCGAGGAATTGGGTGGCATATTCTAGGATGTCGGGGAAGGATAGCTCGATCGCTATGAAGCCGGCGGCGCTGATGGCTTCAAGTCTGCGAGGGAGTGTATGGGTAGGACTGCAACCGATTGAGCATGAGGCGTAGGAGAGGGGAATCTTTTGGAGGCTGTCAAAGGTGATTTGGAACATTTTTTGTTTCTTTTGTGTGTTGATCTATTCGGCGATTTGATTTGAGGTGCTCAAGATGCCAGTGCTCATGCTCAGGAATTCGAAGTTACTACCATTAGATAGATTTGCCTTGACCTATCTCTTTTTTGCCTTGCATGCTTCACTCGGTGTTCATTATAATCTAATGTTGTTCTTTTGTGGTCTGTAACGTCAGATCCATGTCATATCAGAACGACATCTACCTCAATTGGGTATTTCCAAACATTATAATCACCTCTTTTTGCCTGCCGTTGGGCGTTATACTGCCGTGGGCAAAATGAAGGCAATACAGAGTGGAAACTACTATCTGTGGCGTGTCTGACTACAAGTTGACGATATCCCGGAACAGAGCCCCGTTGCCACAACACGTTTGTTCAAGAAGAGCCAAAGTTGAGCTAGATATTTTTGAAGAATTTTATTTCGCTTGCGTGAGCGTTGATCCTTACCCACGAAGTATTCAAAATATAGTATCAACACGCAAAAACAATCACAACACCTAGCGCAATGCCGTCTCCCACCTCCCACAAGGGCATCAAAAGTATCGGCGTTGTCGGAGCCGGCAACATGGGCTCCATGATGACCCTCCGCTTCGCCGAGCTTGGCCTCGAAGTCTCAGTATGGGATGTTGAGAAAAAAAATGTCGACCAAGTCATGGACTACGCAAAGAGAGACCACAACATAAAAGGCCAAGTCCAGGGCTTCTACGACATCAATGAATTCGCCAAGAGCCTCGAGGGCAAGTCTGACCGGAAGCTGTTCATGTTCTCTATCACCCACGGTTCACCTGCAGATGAAGTTCTTCAGATGATCAAGCCCGATCTCACACACGGTGATATCATCCTCGACGGCGGAAATGAGAATTACCGCAGAACCGAGCGTCGTCAGAGAGAGTGCGAAGCTATTGGCGTCACCTGGATTGGAATGGGTGTTTCAGGTGGATATCAGTCTGCCCGACGGGGACCGAGTTTGTCCCCTGGTGGTGATGCCAAGGCACTTGAGCTTGTCATGCCTTTCTTGGAGTCGTACGCTGCGAAGGATCCTAAGACTGGCATGCCCTGCGTAAAGCGGATGGGACCCGGTGGCTCTGGGCATTTTATCAAGATGGTTCACAATGGCATTGAAGGTGGAATGCTCTCTACTCTTGCTGAAGCTTGGTCTTACATGCATGATGGACTTGGCATGGAGCATAGCAAGATTGGAGATGTGTTCGCCAAGTGGAACTCATCGGGTGAATTGCGAAACAACTACCTCGTTCATATTGGCGACAAGATCCTTCATACTAGGAGAACTCCGCAGGGCGACTACAAGGGTGAAGGTGCCAGTCGTGACGATGGATATGTGATCGACGATGTGCTTGACAAGGTTGTTCAGGATGATGACAACACTGAAGGTACACCACTTTGGTGTCTTATGGAGTCTGCTTCTCGTCATGTGTCCTGTCCCACACTAGCGGCTGCTCATTACCTGCGGATCTCCAGTGGCAATCGACTGGAAAGAGTGCGTGCTGCCAAGAAGTTAGAGATGCCCATGCCGAAACCAATTGAGGGAACTCGTGATCACACCGTCATCATTGAGAACCTGCGTCAAGCTGTGTACTGTTCCTTCCTGGCGTCGTTCTGTCAGGGCCTGGAGTTGATTTCTCGTGCTTCAATTGACGAGGGTTGGAACGTCAAGTTGGGAGACTGTCTCCAGATCTGGCGTGCTGGGTGTATCATCCAGTCTGACCACATTGCGGATCTACTGCAGCCAGCACTTGCAGCTAACAATGAACTCACGAATGCCAAGTTTGTCGATTCTGTTGCGCATGAGTTGCACCAGAACTTCCGTGGTTTGAAGGAAATTGTTATGGAAGGAACATATTCTGATCAGTATATTCCGGCGCTTTCGGCGACATTGGAGTATCTCAAGTATGAGGGTGGATTGAGTCTGCCAACCAAGTTCATGGAGGCTCAGATGGATTACTTTGGTGCTCACAGTTACAACAAGCCAGGCATTCCGGGTGAGGATCCCGGCCCTGTTCATAAGGGTCCTCATCATTATGAGTGGCTGCCGGCGTAAATCATGTGTGCATACCAAATTGTATTTACTCCAGAATGTTTATATTTCCTTCATCTGTTCAACTAGTCCTCCAAGTAGGTTGATCACTCTCCTGATCAACCAACAGTAGATCAGATTTATATAGATCACAGACACAAAGTGGCAAATGACAGCCTCAGGAACCGGCTGCACGTGGGTCGACTCCCAACCAATCGGAGACGGAGATTTGCCCGCAACATCTGAAAATTGATGGCGCAAGATGCGCAGGCTTTCAGTCTTTCGCTCCTTCTCTTCTATCTCCAAACCTTTCATCCGAATTGAATCTGCGAAGCAACTAGCCCGCAGGATGGCTTCTCTCCCCAACACCTACGAGGGTACGTAAACCTCCTCCTTTAGAAATTCTCCCTACCCCTCACCACCCCACCTTGCCAAAGCTGACGATTGCAAATCTGACAGGCCCTGTCGCAATCGCTGTCATCGGCGGAACTGGTCTGCGCGAGCTCCCCGGCTTCACCCAGGTTGCCTCACTGTCCGTCTCAACTCCCTGGGGCAACCCCTCCTCGCCCATCACCATCCTGCACCACGAGTGCAAGCACAATGGCAAGGTCGTCGCCGTCGCCTTCCTGAGCCGCCACGGCGCCCACCACCAGATCGCTCCCCATGAGGTTCCCGCCCGCGCCAACATCGCCGCTTTGCGCTCCATTGGTGTCCGTAGCATCGTTGCTTTCTCCGCTGTTGGCAGTCTCCAGGAGGAGATCAAGCCCCGCGATTTTGTCATTCCTGACCAGGTCATTGACCGCACTAAGGGTGTTCGTCCATGGACTTTCTTCGAGGGTGGTGTTGTCGCTCACGTTCCCTTCGGTGACCCCTTCGATGAGGGTATCGCCAAGGTGGTTCGCGAGTGCGGACACAGCCTTGAGGGTGACGGTGTTGTCCTGCACGACCGCGGCACTCTGGTCTGCATGGGTATGTTGTCCCCGCCCTGTTGATTATGTATCAGTATCACTAACCCTTTTTTGCTTTTTGTAGAGGGCCCTCAGTTCTCCACTCGTGCTGAGAGCAAGATGTACCGCTCATGGGGCGGCAGCGTGATCAACATGTCCGCTCTCCCTGAGGCCAAGCTCGCCCGCGAGGCTGAGATTGCCTATCAGATGATCTGCATGTCCACCGACTACGACTGCTGGCACGACTCCGCCGACGTGACTGTCGAGATGGTCATGGGTAACATGAAGTCCAACGCTGAGAACGCCCGCCGTTTTGTCACTTCTGTTCTTGACGCCCTGGCTGGCGACGAACACGCCGAGTTGGTCAACGCCAAGCACTTGGCTGGTGGTATCAAGTTCGGTGTCAGCACTCCCCAGGCCCACTGGAGCCCGGAGGCTAAGAAGAAGCTGGACTGGCTTTTCCCTGGATACTTCTAGATTTAGAGATGTTTCGTGCTGCGGCACGGTATATTTATGATTGCATTTATGCATTGTAGTTATGGCATAGATATGATTGAATAACGAGTCTGACATTTGATTACATATAGCTGCGAGGACTAGTTCCAAGGGCCGTCTGTAGTATTATTTATTTCTAGAGGCCAGCCGAGGTCTAAAAGCCCTGTGAAATACGGCTACGGATCTCTTGTCCTTTGTATCTTTGGCACATGTCCATCTCTACAATGGGCGCTGTTGTCACAGTTCCTATTTTGGACTAGCAGCCACGTGATCTCATCTGCCTGAGGCGGTGATAACGGCGCGGCGACCTGCCAGATAATCCGCCTTATCTTCCCCCAGACCCGAACATTGACAAGGGTTCGGAACAACCCTGATCGACAACCCTTTCCGATAATGCAAGCTGCACAAGCTCCTGCACCAGTACGGTAAACCACACTACAGCGATCGACAGCTCGGTCTCTTTGAACTCCCGTTCAAACAAAGCTCGACCAACCTGGGACCTTGACCGAACACGAATGATGCGTATGGGACATTCTTGTTCACTGTTGGTATGAGACGTGATACCCCGAGCTTGTCCACATCTTGAATCGGCCATTGGTTTGTTGCAAAAACTTGAAGCGGGCAAAATGAGTCCTACCGCGGAAAGCGAAGCTCTGTCAGGCCAGCAGAAGATGACGGAGAATGGCGTGGAAAGGCGGACGAACGGAAACACGAAGGCCGAGACACACCTGAGCTCCCATGATCTAGAGAACGAACGGAATGAGACGGGCGCTTCAACAACATCGTTCAACGGCGTGCCTGGCGAACGCCGAATCGATCATGACAATGGGATAAAGGAGCGACGGGCATACCATGCGAATGGTCATTCCGAACGACGCTTTTCCGGTGCGCAAAAGATGGCAGATTCTGGATCGCCGGAGCAGGGCCTCGGTATCCTTGTTGAACAGTCGCCCGATGACGGGAAGGCCCCTGGTCGATTATCCGTCGTCGATGTCTACGATGGATCACAGACTAAGGCTATTCTAGCTGAGCTGTCTGATGATCTGCAAAACAGACCGTCCGATGATAAGGAAAAAGTCATGAAGTTGTCTCCTGAGAAGATTCAGGAACTCACGTCTTCGCCAGAGTCGATACCCTACCGTCCTGCAGCACCGGAAACGAACACCGGTCGACGAGTGGTGTCTGACAACCCCCATGGGAACAGCTCCTTCGCGCGATCTGAAATACCAGAATTTGTACTTCAGTCTCTTGGCGAGAAACCATCTTCCTCTGACGGGCTGCTAAAACATCGGCCTACCAAAGACCTGCTAGTAGATGCCTCTGCGCCGGCGAGTCCGGTCTTCCCACGGAACATTCAGAACCCGCCTGTGCGCAATCGCCCGCACCCATCACGGACGGTTTCAACCCCTAGCTCTTCGCGCCGTCAACCACCTTCCACACCCAACAACGATAGGCTGGCCCACACATGGACATCACGTTCGAAACAGGATAAACTCGCGCCGGAACGCGACCTGAAGAGCCACCTCATGGCATCACCTCAGATCATCGAAACACCTTTGTCCCCGACCGTGCCATCGTCCATTCCGTTGCCTCCAGTTTCGCTGCCAACATATCTTCAACTTGAGCTTGCATCTGGCCGGCCTTCGCCATTATACATTCATCGCCCCGCATCGAACGAGTTCCCATATGAATCATCCCGTGTGAAGATTGAGAGGCTCATGAACTTTCTCATGCTCCCTCCGATGTTGGAGCAGGTGCTTTGCTTTGGAACTTTGGCCTGTCTTGATGCATGGCTGTACTCCTTCACAATCATGCCTTTGCGGTTCATCAAGGCTGTCTATATTCTTGTCGAATCATGGATCATGAATTTGGTCGCTGAGATCCGGTTTATTTGGAAGTTCGTCCTCAGCGGAATTGGACGAGTCTGGCGCAGAAGGAACCTAGCTTCCAAAGAGGAGCAGCTTGAAAGACGCGGAAGTGAACCGGATGCCACCCCTCGCCTACCTCCAGGCTCTTCTGCGGGGCCAGAAGCAATGGCGACGGCGACGGATAGAGACCCTCGGCAGCTCCAAGCAGAGCCAAAAAAGAAACATCGCACCTCTGAATCCCGCAGGCTTAATCACAGACGAAAGAAGTCTATGCCGTCCGCGCTGCTTCCTGATGACAAAGCCGATATTCTGACAGGCTTGCTTATGATAGCCACATGCTGTGTTCTGATGTACTTTGACGCCAGTCGAATGTACCACTGGATTCGTGGACAAGCTGCTATTAAGCTCTACGTGATCTACAACGTGTTGGAGGTCAGCGACAGACTCCTTGCTGCGATAGGTCAGGATGTTCTTGAGTGTCTCTTCTCGCGGGAGGCTCTCGAGCGCCGTCCTGATGGCCGAAGCAAGGTTATTCGTCCATTCTGGCTGTTCCTCTTGGCATTGGTTTACACAGTATCACATGCCACTTCACTCTTCTACCAGGTTATGACGCTCAACGTCGCTGTGAACTCGTATTCCAACGCCTTGATCACGCTGCTGCTGTCGAATCAGTTTGTCGAGATCAAATCTACTGTCTTCCGGAAGTTCGAGAAAGAGAATCTCTTCCAGCTTACTTGTGCAGATGTCGTGGAACGATTCCAACTATGGCTGATGCTTACTATCATCGCTTCACGTAATATCGTGGAGACAGGCGCCTTCAATTTTATCGGAAGCTTTGGTCTTGGATCTAGTCTATCTGGTCAGCCTTCCACAAGTACCAACAGCACACCTTTGTCTACGCCTCCGCGTACTGCGTCCTCCATCTTGCCTCAAGCGTTCACGTTCTTCCCTTCCTCCATCTTGTCCTCACTAAACAGCGTGAACTCCTTCATCCCAACCTTGGCACAGGTACTTGGTCCATTCCTGGTCGTGCTAGGCTCCGAAATGCTGGTGGATTGGTTAAAGCACGCCTACATCAACAAGTTCAACAACAACCGACCCGCCATCTACGGTCGTTTCCTGGACGTTCTAGCGAAAGACTACTACACCAACGCCTTCGGTGAACAAAACCTCACCCGCCGCATCGGGCTGCCAGTCATCCCTCTGTCCTGCCTCTTCTTCAGAGTCTCAGTACAGACCTATCAAATGTTCCTAGCAGCCCTCCTCCCCCAACACCCCTCCTCAACAGCAATGGAAGCAACATCCCTCTCATCAATCCACGACCACTACGCCCCATCCCCTATCCCATCAGCACCCCCAATAACATTCGCGACTCTTTTCCCCGCCTCAGCCGCCCACGTCAGCGCCTTCTTCCGAACCCTCCTCGAAAACGCAATCCCATCTCCGGCACAATCAGTCCACATCTTCACTGCCGTCCTCCTGCTAACCGGATTCGTCGTCCTCCTCATTCTCAAACTCCTCCTGGGAATGGTCCTGCTCGCCTTTGCGCGCTCGCGCTATAGGAAGATTAAGGGTCTCGAAGCTGACTCTAATAAACACTCCTCCCACTCCTCCCACCACCATACCGGAAATGAACAACCGGCTGCACCCCGCGCCCGCGAGTTCTCTGTCGAGGGTAGCCAGCGCGTTGGGGGATGGGGGATGGTTGAAGTGGGCGAGGAGAAGCGTCGGTTGATTTATGCCGATGATCCTGATGGGTTGCGCCGTTTAAAAGAGAAGGAGGAAAAGAAGGAGAAGGAGGAGAAGGACAAGATTGATAAAGACGGGGAGCTTAATATCGATCATGTACAGCGGTATGAGATGATTGCGAAGAAGATATGGTGATGGCTGTTTGTTCTGGTGATGGGACCTGGACTTGGTTTGTTCTCTTGGACGTGCATTTAATCTCTGGGCATCTGGGATGTCTGTTGTATAGATGTGTATAATATCAAGATTTTCATTAATTTGCATTTATACGTGTTTCACGGTATGATGGTCTATAGGGGCGAGGAGCAATTTCTGGATCTACCCTACACCATACAATCAAAAAGCCAAACGAGTGGATAAGAGATAAAAGATCAATCAATTCATATCATAGGAACAAAGCTGGAAAAAAAGGATATCAAGTGAAAGGGTATGTACAGAATCCCGAGTCATAAGTATAAACAAGTGATCCAGTCATCAAGAGCCAGCTCTCTAGTTTTTCATCATAACAAAAAAAGAAAACCCATCGTCGTACGGCTAGATAGGTTTTATAAAACGCGAACCATCTCAATACTGATGGGTATTGGATCGGTTAAAAGAATGTCCAGGCGGAGCCCGGTGCATAGCAGACGGCGACGCAGTGTTCGCCCGGTTGAAGTTATACCCAGCAAGCGCGGGAGGCCTCTGAGTGCGATTCTGGGGCTGGGGGGTCTGACTAGGCATTGGTGGGTTAAAGGCTGCGTAGCCGCCGTTTTGGGGTGCAGGGGTTGCCGAGGTCATGGGCGTGTATGTCCGTGATGGAGGCTGGACGGGTGTCTGTGTTTGGGGTGGTGGTGTTGCACGGTAACTTGCCGGAGTCATGGAGCGTCCGTATGGAGCGGGTGTTGAGCCGGTGCTGGCTGGCGTATATGATCGTGCGGAGTATGGATCCTGCGCGTAGTATGGTGACTCGTGCGCTTCGTAGTTGTCTTCGGCGTAGATGTCTCGTGACGGACCGTAGGGGTCGTAGTGCGCGGGTGTGTGCGAGCGGTGGAAGTAATCGTCTGACTGCGTGGCGTCCGGTGAAGTGTAGTCTGGTGCTGGGGTGAACGCCTGGTATGGGCGAGAGTGGGGTGTGTTCTGTCTTGGTGGGACGTTGGATGGCAATGGGGGGACTGGGGGAGCCGGTGAGTTTTGCCGGTCGAGGGGGCTGTAACCCATTGTTGCTGCGTTGCCTGTCAGGGAAGCTGATTCCGACATCGCCGAAGACTGGGTTGTGCTTCGGACTAGGGGTGGTTTGGTGTCGAAGTCCAAGTTTGGCAGTGTTGGGTACTGTTCCGGGGTTGCTGCCGAGTTCGATCGGGTATAAGGCGGCAAGGTTGTTGCAGTGGTGCTCCGCGATAGGGTAGTCACAGAGAAGGCGGGTGCCTTGTCGCCAGCTATAGACGGCAGAGTCGGTTTCGAATCGGAGCTCATCAGACTGGGCTGGGTAGGGGTCCGGTTCTGCAATTTGAGCCCCTTTGCCAGTGCCTTGTTGTTCTTGCGATGCACGATACGCTTCAGACGCTGACCAACCTTGCGACGGCAGTATGTTGAAAGAGTACCGTCCTCGGCTGGGATATGATGAAACAGGAAGATCAGGTAGAGTACGATTGCCGAGATCAATTTCAGGACGGAGAGCACCCAGATGACCAGTGTGAACAGCATACCGAACAGGACCACAGCCTGAAGGTTGTTGTCTTCAGCTAGGATCTTGATATTGTTGAAGAATTGTGAGGCCCCAGAGCTGCCATCATCCTTTGCTGCGTTTTCGCCGCCAGGGAGAAGATCCATCTGCATGACCGAGTAGAGTGTGATAGCATTGATGACTTGACGTGGACCATCCGCAAAGACGGTGTTCATCCAGACTAATGATTCGGTCAGCATTTCAAACTTCAGGGTGTATTGTTTCCCGAGATCAAAAGGCGCATGGAACATGCAACATGCGAAGAAATGAAACGAAAGTATGTGACCACAAAGTGCGAGAAGAATGATAAGAAACAAGAAGTAGACTCACATTGAAAAGAAAAGTGCGCATAGAGAGCAACATATTCAGCTGCCTTCCTGTCCTTGGTCAATTCCGCAAAGACAAGGAATCTCCTCCATCCACGACCCTGCTTGCCAAGCCGGAAACTCTGTATACGAACGGCAAGCGGGTCAAGGAAACTGCGAGTAATACTACCGGAGCGCATAGCCCGAACGGCATGGATCCATCGGTAGACCAAGATAACGAACGAAGCGATAATGCACGCGGCAAAGATCCATCGCGAGATATGGAACGGAATGGCGGGCTCAACTCGGCCAGCCCATCGCGAGAAGGCGAGCAGATTGACTGCAGTGAAGACGTCGACACCGTAGACGGCGAGGGATATAATAAGGAATACCCATAGGAAGAAGTACGAGAAGGGAGTCCAGCAAGACTCGGATTTGAAGTCGTCGAGGTTCTGGGCGCATGTCAGTATACCGAGCCCATTCATATTTTCCTTTGTTGACTTACCACATAGTCCCACTTCTCCTCCATTGCGGCAGCTTTCTCGCGGTCTCCGGAGCAAAACATCGTGTAGTAGACCTGGTCCTGCCAGGGAGCGACCAGGCGTCAGACGAATGGCAAGATCACGGAAGCTGAGAAGTCGACTTCCTCGGGCCAGCCGGGCAAAGTCGTAATCAGTGTCAAAATGAGGCGTGTGAGGGAAGTATCGCACGAGGTCGAGCTGGGCGAAAAGAGCGACAGAGCGATCGAGAGTGATTTCTTAACCGCGTGAACGGCGCATAACTGCGCGAGGCCAGGGCGATATGTCAGAAGTCGAGGGCAAGGCTGTACGTGTCAATGAGCGCCTATGTTTCAGTAGTGCATTGAGTTCAATGCACATTGAGAGCCAAGATCGGCGATCCCTTTGTTGCCAAGAAAGGGGGGAGGCGGGAGGTCAAGTGCCGGAGTGTGGAGAAAGAATGTCTGGTACGTAATTAAACGACTGGAATGAATGAATGAATGAATGGAATCCCCAGGGCTGTCGAAAGAATGGAGGTTGGAAAGGGGAGAAAGGCGAAACAGGGAGCTTGGCAGGGGTGGAGAGGCGCGATATGCACTTTAGGGCTGACGGCTTGGCTTTTGATCGCCTAATAATCTTGGGCTAATGGTCTTTTGTTCCCTTCTATTTGACTCTATTTTAGAATCTCCAATTGATATTTCTTTTTCAAGACTCCAAACTATTAATATTTACCCTGCCCTGGCCCTTCACATATCACACATTTCCGAAACAAACACGGGGGGCAATTTAAGGGTCTTATCTCACTGGTCCAGCACGCGCCCGAGGAGGGTCCCTACTTAAGCGCTTCTCCACTTGAATCTTGATAAAGAATTGCATGTATTCCCTTTGAGAAATGGACAAGAAAACAAGAAAGAAATCGGTAGCGAGGAGGAAGATAAAAATGAAGGCAGATACAGTAGTATGAAAAAAATAAAAAAGTGTAAAGTTAGACCAATATACATGCCCGAATTTCCTGCAGACTGGGAACCAATACTTCTAGGCGCTGTACTTAACCGCTCTCATGTTTCAATGAGACGTCGTCAGCCTTTGAAGTCTGCTAGGATATGTTGATTCAGCTAAGTATAGCGAGGCTGAAACTGCGAGTAGATAAACAAAGTTCTGCCTGAGGCAGTAATAACACCTGATATTTCAGGCGTCACTATCCTCTCTCCCGAGGTCTTTTAACTCAACCCCGCTAGTACATGTACTTCCGCTCCCTTCAACGCCAAAGTTGGCCATTTTAAGGCAATGCCCAGGATTTTGGAAGTTGACCTGTTCCAGGTCTCACCTCACCTCAGCACTAACCGACCCTACATTCAACACACAGCGAGTGGCATGTTTATATGATTTAGGCTCAATGCCCAAATCCCCCACCTTTCCAAGAGATGACAAGATTGAGAAATCAAGTCGATGATTGCCGAGGGACCATTATTGGTGAATACCACCTACCCCCCAATGGTGACGTCGATCACTCGCAACTCGGAAGTGCAGCGCGCAGACCGCATTTATAATCTGGTGGAGGTGCAACCCACTCTTGCATGAAGTATAGCATCATACAGCCGACTTATAAAGAGCTCCCCATTTCCTTCATTTCATACCATCCCCTCAAAAGTACACATATAAACATTCATATATCCAATTCCCCTCACCATGCCTTCACCAGACATCCCCAACAAAGCAGCCGAAGGCATCTCCTACTACACCCCAGCCCAAATCCCGCCAGCGGGATCCGCAGCAATCCCCCAATCGGACGGTACCCAGCCACCAAAGCTATTCCAGCCCTTCAAAGTCCGCGACGTAACATTCCACAACCGAATCGGCCTGTCCCCACTATGCCAGTACAGCGCCGACGACGGCCACATGACCGACTGGCATATGGCGCACCTAGGCGGGATCGCACAACGTGGACCAGGATTTCTTACGGTAGAAGCGACCTCCGTCCAGTCAAACGGGCGAATCACACCGGAAGACTCCGGACTCTGGAAGGACTCGCAGATCGCGCCGCTCCGCCGCGTCGTAGAATTCGTGCACAGCCAGAGCCAGATTATCGGTGTTCAGCTTGCCCATGCTGGTCGCAAGGCGAGTACTGTTGCGCCTTGGCTTAGCAAGGCTGATACGGCTACTGCGAAGGTTGGTGGGTGGCCCGATGACGTTAAGAGTCCTGGGAATGTGCCTTTCCATGCGAATTTCCCGACGCCGAAGGCTTTGACGTTGGCTGAGATTGAGACTTTTAAGAAGGATTGGGTTGCTGCTGTGAAGCGGGCTCTCAAGGCTGGTGTGGATTTTGTGGAGATTCACAATGCTCATGGGTACTTGCTTATGAGTTTCTTGTCGCCGGCTACCAATGACCGTACTGATCAGTATGGTGGGAGCTTTGAGAATCGCATTCGGCTTTCCTTGGAGATTGCTCAGTTGACCCGCGACACTGTCCCGGAGGGTATGCCTGTCTTCTTGCGGGTCTCCGCTACGGACTGGTTGGAAGAGGTCATGCCGGATAAGCCGTCCTGGCGCGTGGAAGACACGGTCCGATTCGCGAAGGCGCTGGCTGATAGTGGGACTGTTGATGTGCTGGATATCAGCAGCGGTGGCAATCACGAGCAGCAGCATATTCATGCCAAGCCTGCTTTCCAGGCGCCGTTTGCTATTGAGGTGAAGAAGGCTGTTGGTGATAGGATCAAGGTTGGCTCGGTCGGCATGATCAGTTCCGCTTCTTTGGCCAATTCTCTGCTAGAGAAGGACGGATTGGACTTTGTGCTTGTCGGCCGCGGATTCCAGAAGAATCCCGGTCTGGTTTGGGCTTGGGCTGAGGAGCTTGAGGTGGATATTTCCATGGCTAACCAGATTAGATGGGGCTTTGCCAGTCGGGGTACTGGTGGTGGCCCTTACTTGCATAACAAGAAGGAGGGTAAGCTTTAGAGGCTACTTTTGTAGATAACTTCGCGTACTTACATTGGATCTGAATTATGAATCATGTGTTTCTGAATCTATGTTGAATACTCTAGCTTGACGTGCCAAACTCTGGAGCTTGCGATATCACTTGCGAAATTGACAGTCCCAGTGTGACTTTATTGACAGTAGGACTATACTTGAAATTTACCCATACAAACATCGCTTTCTGCTTAGAAATCGATTTCCAAGTCATTCAAGATGATTCCACTCCCACGGACGAAAACATCGCACCGGCTCAGCCGGCCGAAAAACGGACTGATCAAATGATCTCATCTATAAAACACCCTCCCCCCGCAGCAACAAAATTGAACTTCAAAGCCCTCATATTTTCCTATTGGATTCTAAATCAAACGATGGTATCTCTACCGGATGTCCAATCCTCAAACGACCAAATCGCCGAACTCCCAGCAGGCCTAGTCGCCGTCTTCGTGGGAGCAACAAATGGCATCGGCGAAGCAACCCTAAAAGAATTCGCACGCTCAGCCAAATCCCCTCGGGCATACTTCGTCGGCCGCTCGCAAGAAGCTGGCAATCGCATCACGGCCGAATGCCGACAGCTAAACCCAGAAGGCGAATACCTCTTCATCAAAGCAGATTTGAGCCTCATTCGCAACGTCGACGAAGTATGTCGCGAGATCAAAAGTAAAGAGAAGGCCATCAACTTGCTTTTCCTCAGTTGTGGGAGTGCCCGGTATGGTTTCGGTAAGTACAAGTACTACCTCCAGCCCAAATACAGTGAAATAAAACACCTTCATACTAACGCTCCACAGATACTCCAGAAGGTCTCCATATCATGCTCGCAACACAATACTACGCGCGCATCAGATTCACAATGAATCTTCTCCCGCAACTAAAAGCAGCGACCGCCGTCCGGCGCGTCGTGAGCGTTCTAGCAGGCGGGCACGAAGGACCAATCGATGAGAATGACTTCCAAGCGAAGAAAATGAATATCCTAAGTCTGCGGGGACATGTCGTGTCAATGACCGATATGGCGTTCGAGAGTCTAGCCGCACAAGCACCTGAAGTGAGCTTTATCAATGATTATCCTGGCGCAGTCAAGACGGGTCTTCATCGGGAAGCTGAAGGGTTTCTGATGTGGCTTCTGGTATTGGTTATGGCTATCATTGGGCCTTTGATTCATATTCCTATCAAAGAGTCCGGGGAGAGGCATTTGTTTTTCGCGACGAGTGCCAAGTATCCGGCGCGTTTGGGGGATGATGCTTCTGGTGTTCCTTTGGTTGATGGGGTTGAGGTTGCGAGCGGTATTGACGGTGAGGTTGGGAGTGGGGTTTATAGTGTTCATTGGTCTGGGGCGCATTCTGGTGAGAAGGTCGTAAGGTTGTTGGATTCGCTTCGGGGGCAGGCGATGGTGCGGAAGGTTTGGGAGCATACTGTTGGTGAGTTTGAGAGGATTACGGCGGAGGCGGAGGTTAGGTGACATATATCGTTGTCGTGCATTGTACATCGTTTGTCGTTCGAGGATCTACCTCCTTAAACAGGGATTTTGATTGGCTCGGAGTTCTCATCGTGCATTTTCTACACCATATTGCATATTTATGCTTCACAACTTCCAAATAATATGTGAATCAAACCTGAAAAGTCGAGATGTAGTGATGTCATGGCCCCTAAGCTGCAAGTATGGGTTGATAAAATCGCAGAAATACAGTCAGCTCTCAAGTTGCCGATGTTAACACGTGGAGAGATTACAGCGCCGCGACATTGGTCTGTTCGCTAGATCCCGTTCGACCCAATGGAGTATTGATTGCGAGACCTCAGTGGACACAGTCCGAATCCCGTATTCCGCTCGAAATCACGGTGCCTAATCTCAACTGACCTTCATCTACCCTCAGTCGCGCCCGGGAGGATTTCAGAGCTGCGTGTTCGCTCGCGAATTGTCACATGCCATACTACAGCCAACGTCTTGCATAGCTGTCCTTCGTCTCAACTATTGCTCTCACATCTCCTCTTTATCAGATTCAGCAGATTTATCCTGCAGTATTGTGACGCTGTCGGGATCGTGAGCTTGATCTGACTGGACCAACGAGAGCCAAGACCTTTGTCATCTCGCCCCCACTCGGGAGCTTTGGGCTAGTTCCTGGTTCTATTCGAGATTCAACTTGTCATCTTGACAGGTCCTTTGCAGGTCATTTCGTGAGAAACTACGATAGACTTAACCGTGTTCTCCGAATCCCTTAGTCTGCATAATCGCCATGAGTGGCGTCAATGATGGCCTCAACATCCTCTACGTCGGCATGGCTGCTGGGTTATATCTCCGACCAGAATATGCCATCTTTAACTCGCAAATTATGACTGGCATCATCCTCTTTGGAATTATCACGGTACTTAAATTTATCTATCGTCTGGGTCTTTATCCGGAATACTTCACACCGTTAAAACATATCCATTCACCACCGGTAAGCCATATATCTTCAAGGTTGTCAATCTTGTCTAACATTATATAGAATCGAGGCTGGCTGAAAGGAAACTCGGACTCCTGGTTCCTTGAAGCCCCCTTTACGCAGTTGGGAGAGTGGGTCAGTACTATGCCTAATGAAGATATCATTCGGTACTATATGGTCGGCAACCTTGAGAGGCTTATTTTGACAAGCCCGAAGTCATTGGGTGAACTCCTCGTCACCAAGGTATATGATTTTGAAAAGCCAGAAATGATCCGAGAGAGCTTGCGACGTATTACCGGTGATGGTATTCTACTTGCCGAGGGTGATGAGCACAAGGTATCCATCAAAGTTATCCCAAATAATACCTGTGATTGACAAGATGAACTACAGAAACAACGAAAGAATCTCATGCCAGCATTTGCATACCGACACGTCAAGAATTTATACCCAGTCTTCTGGGCTAAGAGTATTGAAATGGTGAAAACGATTGAACAAGAGCTGGAGAACAGAAACTCCAGCGGCGACAACACAATCCAGGTTAGCAACTGGGCTAGCCGAGCAACACTCGATATAATCGGGGTAGCAGGCATGGATCACGACTTCGACTCTCTCCATGACCCGGACAACACCCTCAACAAATCCTACAGAGCTATCATGCGCTCCCCACCTCTCTGGTTAAAGCTGGTCTTTGTAGTGAGCTTGATCGTCGGGTACCCAAGTTGGTCCCGAAAATTCCCCTCGAAATGGAATAAGGAGATTGAAGAAAACGGCGAAGTCATCCGCAACGTCGCCCGGCAAATGATTCGCGAGAAGAAAGCCAAAATGGAAGACCCCAAAGCCGAAACCGGCGTGGACATCGTCTCCGTCGCTCTGAGTAGTGGAACCTTTGATGAAGAGAATCTCGTCGACCAATGTATGACTTTCCTCGGTGCAGGCCACGAAACAACCGCCACGGCTCTCCAATGGGCTGTCTACGCCCTCTGCAAAAACCCAGATGTCCAAACCCGCCTCCGTGACGAAGTCCGCGCCAACCTCCCATCACTGAATGACGAAACACCCATTACAGCATCTGAAATTGACAACCTCCCTTACCTAAACGCCGTCTGCAACGAAGTCCTCCGGTTTCATCCCTCTGTCCCGGCAACAATCCGCACTGCAGTCCGTGACACCAGCCTTGCAGGCAAGCATATTCCCAAGGGAACACTATTTATCATCTCCCCACAGATCCTGAACCGGATGGAAGAATTCTGGGGACCGGACGCCGACAAATTCAACCCGGACCGATTTATGGGTCCCGGAAAGGCGAATACGGGTGGTGCGGTTAGTAACTATGCTTTCTTGACTTTCTTGCATGGCCCCCGCAGTTGTATTGGGCAGGGCTTTGCGAAGGCTGAGCTGGCTTGTTTGATTGCTGCTACTGTTGGCCGTTTCCAGATGGAGTTGAAGTATCCTGATGCTAAGTTGGAGGTCAGGGAGGGGGCAACAGTTTCGCCGAAGGATGGGGTTCTTGCTAAGTTTACGTTGTTGGAGGGGTGGTAGATGGGTTCTGGAATATCTGTGTTATTTTAGTTGGGCTTCTTCGGGTTTCTTGGTATATATTGCATTTGTTTTTTTTTTTCGCGATTTTTGCTTGTTATCCTCTCACTTGAGAACTGCAAACTCTCTATGTACATGATACTAACGAATCGCTTCTCTCTGGTCCTATCTTTGTATGGAAGCTGGCTAGGACATATAAATTGGTACTGCGCGAGTATCGGCGTGTCTTTTAGGATATCTGAGATGAAACGACCCATCACCTAGTAGAAGTAGGGACTACATACCACAGCAAGTTTCATTATCTTACAGTCTTCGTACCTGCAACAACCAAATGTTCGACGCATTTATCAAATCACCATTTTAGAAACAGCGAGGGTTAACCGTGGCCCAACGCTTCATTTTTCTGTCGACAGGAGCCGTGTAAATACAAACAAGCAGCTTCCTCTGCCGTAGAAATACTCCCATTCCAGCATCAAAAATAGTATATCCGCGGAAAAGATCGCATACACCAGGAAAGCAACAACCGGGGACAAAAGTCCTTCCATCCCTCCTCCTACATATGGTCTAGATGATTAGCCCGAGGCACTCGAAAAGGGGCAAAAAAGAGGTGAAAAAGAGAGGCCAAAGTAGGGCGAAAACAATATATGAAACGCTATACTCACTTATGCAATAGTTAGAGGACCCCAGAAACCCACATCAGGGATCTTTCTAGGATTTTCAGGAACAGAACCACTTTTGATTGCTATTGTTATTTCTGTTACGACCGCAATAGTGGCAGCACACTGACTATAACATAGGACGGCTGGCTAATAGCAAGACATTCCATTTGGTCGACATAAAACAATAACCTTTCCCTACGCACATGAAGGTACCGACAGCTTTGACCTCTTGGCTCTCTCATCCTCCATTCAGCTACTTCACTTGATCTTTCAAAACACCAAATGCCCAAGGGCCATCATCAAAGATTGTGGACCGACGGACATCCCTCGCTGTCATTGTCGCGGTATAGGGATTAGCGCGATGCATCGATTGGCTATAACCATTAGCAATGGATCAATGGACGCACTCTCGAGACTTGCCGATTATCCCACCAGACCATATCCCCACCATAAAGCCACTCCATGCTGAAGACATACTGCCCCAGTTAGCCCTCGAACTTGGCAAAACAGGGCTTATTTAAACTCACTTTCGATTGTGTACAGTGGTCAATCAACTCCCAAATTAGCCGCTGGCTCTCTTCAATGTCTTTTCCGACGATTCGTCTGGCATGCGCGGCTAGATACAATGTTTTTCGACCGTCTGGTGCTGTTTGCACGAGACGATGGTAGGCCGGTGGCTTCGCTGCCAGTTCGTGAGGTAGAGGGTTTCCAAACACAGCAGGTGACGCGAGCTTTCGGGAATGCCAGAGACTGGAGTAGCTTAGCCGGGAATTTACATTCAGAGACGGTGGTCTTTCAAACAGATGACTTACTCATGTTCAATAACGAAGTTCTCAATCTCGTCTTTTTTCGTTTGTGGAAGGTCACTGTAGGCACGACGCGTATCTGCAAAATGGGTCCACGATCCGCCTTCAACAGGATTTCCATGAGAGAGCAGTATGGAATACTTGGACCGTTGTTGGTGATACGATGAGTCCTAGGTGAGTCAGTACCAATGTGTATCTTGCTCGCTGGGGACAAGTATGCCTACGGTGTGCCATAAAGCATTTCCCAGACTGTGATGGTACCTGCGACTGTCCATCTTTACCAGCGAGCCATCTAGCTCGATGCTACTCTTATCAGAACATGACATGCATTTAATATTGAGTATTCACGGAATACTTACTTGGCCACGTCGAATAGTAACGGCTCCCCCAACCGGTCATTTTCTCGTCCGTAAAAGAACGGATTGACTTCTAGCTTGTCGCCCAGCTGCTGCGAGAATAGAATATGCCGACTGTTGTCCAATCCGGTTTTGCGAAAGATCAGCACACCGTACTTATCTTGCAGCGCGATTAACTAGCATCTTGTCAGTGGTTACATTTAGCCTCGGCAATGATAACCTACTTTCGTGACAATATTTGCTGGAACAGGGTTGCTCCAATCAACGCCGTATACTTCTGCACCAAAAGATGAATCTTCCGAGAGGAGTATTGGGTGGACGGTCAATGAGCCATCTTGGATTGTGTGCTGAACACCTGTCCTTCTCGGACAGGTGTTATCGTACACCAAAATATGCATATGAGACATTGAAGTGAGTTACATTGTATCTGACCTTGTGAGGCAATCGTGGCTTTTGATATCGCTCCTGGTCAACCCGCACAGATAAGACGGCTTGAAGCCCGCGCGGCCCGACCCCGAAGATGCCGATGCGATAGCTACAGCTACTTCCTGTATTTCTGAAACAACAATTTACTCAGCTCTTTGATCTCATATCACCAAAATGACCTCCATCCTAATAACAGCCGGACCGTACCAATTCCGCGCGACGTTCGAATCCTCAGCCCCCAAAACAGTAGCCCTCTTCCGCACTCTCCTCCCATACCGGCAGAAGCTCATTCATGTTCGCTGGAGCGGGGAGGGAATGTGGATTCCACTAGGAGAAACCGATTTTGGACTTCCCTTTGAGAATCATACGGCTCACCCTGCTGCGGGTCAGATCTTGTTGTACCCTGGTGGTATCTCCGAAACGGAGATTCTGTTCTGCTATGGAGGTGTTGCCTTTGCGAGTAAGATGGGACCACTGGCGGCGAATCATTTCTTGACTATCACCGAAGGAAATGAGAAGCTAAAGGCACTGGGTGAGTTGGTGCTTTGGCAGGGAGCCCAGGATATTTTGTTTGAGTTGGATGGTGCTGATAGGTAAGTTGGTCCTTGTGAGTGTATAGCCTACGGTCATCTCGGGATATTAATTATGTTCGAAACCCTGATTTAGGCATGGCTCTGCGAAGCTATAAGATTCCACTATCAATCATGAAAGCATCCCGTCCATATTCAAATCCGGAAAATCAAGCGATTCCCCAAAAAGATTTCCAGCCCAGTCAACACCAGAGTTATTCATTAAATCTAGTAGAGACTGAATCGCCATATCATCGATCTCTTCTTTCTCGATATCCTTCATGTTTTTCTCGGACACTAGTACCAAAGAAACTGCATAGTGAACGATGGATTGGAAGTCTTGCGCAAAATGGAATGTCGTTGCTGGACACACGCTGTCGAAAATTTCTAGTGCAAGACGAAGGAGACGAGCGAGAACTGACGAAGAAGATGAGGGGAGACGTGTAAATACATTCCCTTTCTCTCCACTGGAAATTGCGCTGCGAATTTGTAGATTTTCTGTTTTCCACGTTGTTAGTGTTCAAGGGATTCGGATTATTAGTTCCAAGTATGTTGATGAATTTTCTTACCATCAATAAGTCCTCGAATATAACAAAGAGATAGAAACGTGATAGCAAACGTATGCGAGATCCAGGTTGAGTCCACCGCATAGTATAGTCGACTGACAGATCCACGATCTGCATGGTATGCCCCGTCGGGAAAACTAGACGGGTTCTTCGAATCCAGCGAGAAGACAACATCTGCCTTGTAGCTCGATTGTGAAAATATAATCTGCGCTGCAGCGGTCAAGCTAACTGGCAGCGCTTGTCGAAGATGTGGTTGAATTGAATCTGTCAGCGGTCGGTGTACACGTGGAGATGAAAGTATTGGTGCGAGAGATGCACAGTTTAGTGAAAGTCGATACCACTAGATCGCTTGTTAGAATAGGCTCATCACGTGTACATGTAGATAGGTAAGTACATACCCTCGCCGAGGTGAATGGCAAATGGTTATAGTGGGAATCCGTTTTCTCTGGAAGGTGTTAATAACAGCCATTACAGGTCTTCTGATAAACGCACTTAAACGGGCAAACCAAGATCTACAAAAACGTCAGTAAGTAGTGAAAGATAAAGCTTCCAACTGAATTCACATACTTCTGCCAATCATCCAAATCAATATTCAACCTTTCCAAGCAACTCGGTTGCAATTGACGGCCAGATATATCCCCACAACTAGACATAGCAAAGTGAACAATTCCGACAAGCTCTACAAGTCCCCTCACTCGAAGATCAGCAGGGGACTGCATCAAGTCGCTTGAGACAAAATTCCGCGCTACTTGGACCGACGGAGCAGGATCAATCGATACAGGTAGACCGGATGTTAGCATGAGATTAAAGTTGCATGTGAGCAAGTTGTACCACACTCGTAGCCTGTTAGCATCCTCTGCGGATGGACGTTTGTTGGGGTCCTTGAAAAGTGATGTGGCTGATTGCTCGAGACCCAGAAGGACAGAATATCGTTCTGCTAACCCTAGGATAGCCCAGGCGCTGATTTCGTTGTATCGACTTTTGGCTTTACGTGTGTCGTGGGTACTGTGACGGTCGGAATTTTCATCTTCTTCATCTTCTCTGCTGCAGGGCATCCACTGGGCATACAGAAGAAGTACACAAATGGAGTCTAGTGTAACATCTGCTGGAGTGGGACGGAGTAGGAGCCTGGAAACCGCTTTGTCAAGTAATTTTGTAAGGTCGTGGAATCGAGGGTGACCACCAATAGAATTGTCACTGTTTATGAGTATTAGCTAGGCTTCTGGGTCTAGTCAGTCTGGTTATATACCTTTGATCACCTGTATCCCAGAACCGAGTACCAACTGAACATATTGCTAGGATAAGTGTTGGGCTTCTTTCAAGATATTCCTGCCATGAATAACGTATGGTTTCATCTAGTACTGGCGCTGAGACATGGCAATGTTGGAAGAATCTGGCGCATATCAGTAGGTGATGCTTTTCCCGAACGGAATGGTGAAATACATTTCAATTGCTCGCTGGACATCCTCGACTGAGAGAAGCCCCTGGTGTATAGGATTGTATATGCTCTTGTATTTCAGTGCTCTTGAAGTTGAATCATGGACTTGTTCTTCCGCAAGGACTCTTAACGATCGGAGTGTTGCAATAGGAGGACCCAAATGAATCCCGTCGATGCTTGACTCGGGAGAATGATATATGTCGCTTTGACTTGGTGAGAAACCTTGCTGACGCTCAGATTGCACATATCTGGGCGGTTCCTTTCTGTTTACGTCCAATTGACGCTTTTGACTTTCGAGCTCAAAAATTCGTGTTTCATGTTGGTTGAGTCTGCTTTTGGTTTTAGAGTTTGCTCTCCAACTGAGTGGTAGCTTTCAGTCTCACCTGTTTTGCAGTTCAATTACGAGTTGTACTAGACTTGATGGACTTTGAGTCACGTCCAATGTTGGAGCTCTATCTGTTTCAAATGAACAAGTGATACTTAGCCTTTGACATCGCTTGCATGGTAATTGCAGATTGGCTTCTTCGGATGATGGCAAGCACCGCTGTTTTCGCGCGCGACACTAATCCGGGCGTGTTAAATATCGTCTTTCTATATCGAATTTGTAGCACTCACTTGTAGACAAGCTCGAGCAATCCGACGGGCTTTAGCGGGACGCTCATCATCTGTACTAGGATTGTCTTGCCAGTTGGTGTTAAAGGACATCGTGATGTTATTCTATCGGAATTAAGACAAAGACACGTTATGAAGAGGCGGATCAAAGAAAAGGGCCAATCTGGGAATGTTGGTTACTCTGATAACATCTCGGACGCTGATTTGTTGTCGATACCCCTGTTCGTGTTGAGTGGATCCTTCGAAAGTGTCGAACCTTGTACCTCCGTGTATAAGTTACATGTATTTAATTCAAAGTGGCAGCATGTCGTGAACCTACCCTAATAAAATGAAATTTAGGCTTAAACTAATGATGAATCCCGTATTCGTGCGAAATATGCCAGTTCAGAGTCTATCGTTGCCTTGTTGCCTTGAAAAGTGCTAAGTTAATTATCAGGTCTTACATTTAGACGCCATTCAAGTAGTACATTTTACTACTTGATTTAAATGTTATTTATGTGTTATACAGTTCGTTAGTCCTTTCTCTAAATACTTCTCAAGTTTTATATATTTGAGTAATCTAAATTTACCGTCCTTATTTGGGGACAGCTGATTGAGGCACTACCACCTATGATTTAGGGTCCTCACCCGTAAGTTTAGGTCCTAATCATTTAGCCATTATACAGACTAGTTAAAAGGATACAGCAGGAGATCATAAATGTGTATACAGTTACACCGATGAAGTACTGGACAATATGTACACGAAAGCCTTGAAGCGACTGTAGCGTTTCATGGATTGTTTTCGGCTCTGCTTTGCCCATTTTCTAATGACTCGGGGTTGTAGTTATTTAGGAATTGTCCTTTAATCATGTAGATGATATAGATTATATAAAAATAGGGGTGGCAAAGGACGTATAGCCTATGGCTGTAGCTGTATATGCACTAAGGAAATCTGAGAGTTGACCGTGATGAGGAAAAACGATAAGCTGTTGTTCACTCGAAGCTTCGTTACGAGTCGACTCTTCCATATGAGGCTACTTCTCGCAGCAGATTCTATAGTACCAGCCAAATTTATTCATAGAGCCAACTGGCTACACGGCGAGGATCGCGATCATCTCTGGGGGATATCGGCCCTAATTTGCTAGGGCCACGCTTGACATACTCTCCGTCTCGCACCTTTCCGGTTATCTTGCCATTTGCCCACATAACCTTACCACGAAGGATTGTGTATCGAGGCCAGTTCGTAAACCTCATTCCTTCATACGGAGTGTCTTCAAAGATACAAAATTAGCTTCGCCGTGCTTGAAAAGTACACCGTGGATCGCGATACTTACAATCGACATTGTGATGTAACATAGAATTAGTGAGGTTGAATGGTGAAAATGACTTCTCTGGGTGCCACTAGAATTGTGAAATGTCAATATCTATACGGGGAAGCGGCCTCAAGGTAAGGCTCATGTCTTACTATCACGAAATCGGCATCTGATCCGGGCATCAATGCCCCCTTCTTAGGATATAGGCCATACTGTAGGTATGTTAGCATTAATTTAAAGACGCAGAGAGCCTTAGAAGGACCAGGCATATGGTTACCAATTTGGCTGGATTTGTCGATGTCAACTCGACAAATTTCTGCGGCGTAATGCGACCGCTGGCCAATGCCCCTGTATAGAGCAACGACAGTCTTGTTTCCACGCCCGGGATCCCATTGGGGATAAAGCGGAATGCTCCTCCTTTCCGCTTTAATAAATCTTGTAGCTCTTCGCCATTACATGATTTCTCTCCCTCCATACTTGCTTCGTGCTCTAACACTCCAGATGGTTTGCCATGAGGATGGTCGTAGCGGAAAGGGCAATGATCAGATGAGTAAATCGTGAATGTCCCGTTTGAAAGACCGCTTTTACCAGTCAGCCAAAGGTATGTGGTATTCAATGCAGTCAATCTTACACAAAGAGTTCTTCATGATCAGCGATGGTGGGAGGTGGAGGTGGCGAGCAGATCATCTTGCTGTTTTCGAAACAGGTTGGCGAATGGAACCTTTTCTATGAGAGAGCTAAGCAATTGTCTTTTTGGTTTAGTTTGAGCCAACTTACCAAATCATCCCAGGTGAGATGGAAGTATTGAGGACATGTTTCTGCATAGACCGGCAGTCCCATTGTCTGAGCGCGGCGAACATTGGCGGCACCAAGCTAACTAATTTAGTAGGACATTTTCTCTAACGAGGGACGTACGTACCACTGAACCGACATGAACAAACAAGATTGGGTTCTGGATAAGCTGTGCCAAGGCAATTGCTCTATTGGTGGCTTCTCCCTCAACAAGAGGAGGGCGCGACAAGGCGTGATAGAAAGGAGCTGTTACAGGTCAGCAAGTGAAAAAAAATTGCAGTCCAAAAGAACTTACCAACCATCCCCTTACTCTCCAGTTTCTCTGTATCCAAGTCAGCTGTGTCATACATCCCCCAGCATTGAATATACCTGTTAACCATTCTATCATATCCCCATTCTCCGCATGGATCATCTAATACAAGATTAGCCGCCATCCAGAATATATACATCACTGCAACAGATAGCACTCACTGTGGTGATAGAGTTCTTCCTCGCCGCAAACATAACATCCAACATTTGCGAGTCAGTCAAACGCTGGGTCGCATACGTTAAGAACAACTTGCAGCTACTGATTCCCCAGTCTTTGATCAAAACTGGTAGCTCATTCTGAAGAATATCCGCATCATTGCGAACAATAATGATGTGAAATCCGTAGTCCACATAACTCCCAGTCTCTTCGGCACGTGCATTATACCTTTCAGCCACTTTCAAGAGACTCCGGTCTTCTTCCTCTCTGGTTTGAGTGGCAAAGGTGATAATCGTAGTGGTTCCACCGGCAACAGCGCTTCTTGATCCGGTCTCAAAGTTATCAGAGCATTCGCCGCCGAGACCGTGTGGTCCTGCAAGAATTAGATGCAATCCTCTTTTTTAAAAAAGATGATTGAATTACCGGTTTTGAGATCTTGACACAAATGGACGTGTGCATCGACACCACCAGGCATTACATATGCACCTCTGGATTCGATATGTCAGCGGTGTATTTGCTCCTTCGGATTCTCATAACACGAACTCAGCATCTATAATCTCAGCCCCTACCAACTCATCCTCCGTGAATGTATTTGCAAGAGATTGAATCTTGCCATCTTTGACTCCGATACAACATTCGCTTTATCTCGTTAGCGATTGTACAATTTGTCTATGGAAACGTCAGAGGCCCGTTACCTGATGTCGCTGGCAGTCACAATTGTGCCATTGATCACAACTAAATCAAACTTAGGCGCCATGTTTCCAAATTTCTGGTCGATGCCAAATTGACAGAGTGCATCGAACCGGGGTAATAGGACACAACGTGCGGGACACGCGGCGCTCGAGCCGACTACCATCGGCCGGTGCGCTTATCTGTCCGATGACAAGACGCCACAGGGTTCACGTTTTCATGGGAGAACGTTATAGGGCTCTAACTTTATCGCTATCAAGCTATTGATTACGATCGGGCAATCTCGCGTTACTGGATGTCCCTTATCGCCCCACATCTGCACACCAAAGGTTCATTTACTTTACGGCTTATCATTTATGGGAGCAAATCCATACTGGAGCCGCTGGGTTAAGTTGGAGAGAGACGTGGCCGGTAAGATAAATTCAGAGAAGCACGTTGACTATCATAGTAAGTGAAAAGAAATGAGGTATTGGGTTTAATCACACATGGCTTGTCGGGATTATTGCCTAGATCCTGTCGGAAATCTTCTGCCACAGAGTCTGAGGGCTCTCCTAGACGTTCAAATGTCATTAAATGAGACACTTTACGATAGATTGATCTTACCTTTTCAGTAACCTCAATCGAAGAGCCGGTGACAAAGTCCATGTCGGCATAATCGACCATCTTAGACTTGGTCCAAAACTTGTATCCGAAGTAGAGCACGGCAAACAATGGAATGGGAAAGTAAGTCGTGACAAAAGAGGAGGCGTCAAATTTAGGAACTTCATGGGAGATCAGTAAGGCGGAAAGACGTGCTTCATGTCGTGCAAACTCACTGAAGGAACCGAACCCGCCGAAGATGATGACCATGACACAGATTGAGATTCCATCTAAAGAGTAGCGACAATTAGCATTATTCACACGAAATGACCGTCTTTAAACTTGCAGTAGGATAGATAAGGTTGAAGAGGTGCCATATATGGGAGTGTCTTCCGATCGATGCCCTGCGCCTCAAGACCTTTGTTCCAACGGATACTGGTCCACAAGATCCCTGTCCAAGAGATCATACCGCACATCGCAGTCATGTTAGCGACTAGACTGGCATTAGCTTCATTACTTGGTAAAAGTTCATCGAAGATATTCACTCACAATAGCCAAACACTTTGCCCGCCTCTCCATGAGCGGCGGCCATGAACGACAGGAAAGAGAAAGCCCCACAGAATAGGAAGCAAACCCAAGGGAAGCCGTCCTTTCGGGTCTTGAGAAAGATCTTGGGGGCATGTCCGCGGGCTGCCAGTCCATATAGGGTTCTTGATGAAACAAAAAGATCGGCTGTGCCGGCAGACCACGCGCTGGTGAGAAGGGCTGCATTAATAATGGAGGGAAGGACTGAGATGCCGGAGTTCTGTTATATATATCAGCGCTTTGGTCTTAGCACAGAATATCAACGGTGGCTTACTTGAATGGCAATGACAAAGGGACTCTTGGCCGCAGTAGAAGAAAGACTGAGAGAAGGATCCGATGGAGACACGAGAAGTCCAATCTGTCATTGTAAGCAGACTGTTAGTCACTATCGAGTTGTGAATACTCACCAAGAAAGCACTGCAAAGATAGACTAAATTGAGAGAAAACGAAAGTTAGTACATTGAGGTCTGAGAAGTGATCCACCCCAACTGACAGAGTACAAGCCTAATCCAAACACTCTTGATGGCTCGCGGGACGTTTCTTTGCGGCTGTAATAGGTTGTGAGGAAGGTAACTTGCAGTTAGTTTGGAAGAATCTCACGTTTGAAGTCTCGGCAGCTGCGATTGCTGTAATCTCAGATCCAATAAACGCGAAGGCAGCGTTAATCAAAACTATAAAACGATGAGCGATCCCGTATGAACAGATATTATAGACACGGTCTCACCGCTGAAGAATCCGAGGAAACGCCCTTTTGCACCGGCTTTAAATCGTGTTAGATACCAATGAACGCTGCATTATTGACTTATCGGCTTACCAATGCCATCATACTGAGTGAAACCACCAGTCTCGTCCCAATATTTGAATCCAGTTGCCTCATGGTTAGGCCCGCCACCGGCACTGATGATAACACCGGTGATAATAAGGCCAATGATTGTCACAACCTATATAAGTCAGTACCTCCGCGATTTTTAAATTCCGTGCTTCCCAGCTTACTTTGATTGAACAGAACCAGAATTCCATTTCACCAAAGACTCGTGTTCCGGCATAATTGATTGCAAACTAGATTGGTATTAGTATCATTTGTAGTCCAGTTATCTGCACACATCCATACCACAACTATAAGCATCAATCCAACCCACATGGCATTATTGCAAATTCCAGTTGAGCACGTGGAATCTGCCTGTCCTGCAGGGGTCCAAAAGGTAACCAGAACAGCCGCTGCGGAGATTTCGGCCGGTAAGACAACTACAGAGATTAGATGTGCCCAGTTTTCGCGGAATGAGTGAGAATAGTCGCACCAATATAACTAAAATATTTGTAAGCCCGGTTTGTCGTAAAGCAGAATGAAATCTGACTTACTTATACCAGAACAGAATACCCATAGCGAAACCAAGCTCCGGTGAGTTGAACCGGCCAGCTAAAGCAAATTGACCTCCAGGAATAGGAAATTGCGACACCATTTCACCGAGAGCAACCTGCACACAGTCATTAGTCCTTGCTAAGAAGATATAACTAGTTGGAGTTTGCCTTACCATTACCGAGTATAGCAACGAAGCCATAATACAGTATCCAATAAGAAGACCAGCCGGACCGCCATTCTTCAGATCGCTCGCTGTGCCTAGGAAGAGGCCAGTGCCCTGATAATTGATCAGCAAGAAAAGTGAAGTCAGAGTAGGATGACTGACGATAACACCTCCGATGGCAATCATTTGCCTAGTCAAATCTTGAGTCACCGTGCAGTAAATCTCGAGTGTGCTGTCACTTACAGGTGCCGGGGCTAGTTAATTGTTAGGAAAGATCAATAGGCATTGAAAGACTGTATCTCGGCGTACCTTAAGCTGTCGTTGGAGGCCATGGTTGCTGCCTGTGTCTTGGACAATTGCCAAGCCAACGGGGATCTCATTGGCATCATAGGCCAGCTCTTTCGTCTTCTGTAACGTGAATCAATACCGAATCATCCATGCACCTTACTGTCCAGGAACATATCTCTTACCTCTTCCTGCATAGTAATAGCGTATCTGTTTGTCGAGAAATTAATCTTGGTTTCTCCTCAGGAAGGGGACAAATCATCATATTTAATTCCAAGGTTATCACTGCGTCCATCAAAAACGCCCCAGAAAGCCTAAAACAGCTTATTATCTCTGTGATAAGACTTGCCTTATAACGAGGGTTGATAACAATGCGGGTCGAGCGGAGACTTCCCGCGTCTTGTCTTATCGGCCGGCTGGATACCGATGCTCCCGACACTCGCGCCCCTCATAGGTACGAAAGGGTCGTTATAGAAACATTTAACCAGGAATCTAACAAACTAGCAATCTCACCTCTGACTTGGCGACGTCCATTTGACTCTTTGTGGTGTTCTTGCAATGGCAACATATACGACACGGCCACTCCAGCCCGGGGTATACGTGCCGCTACCAACGTTCTTTGATGAGAACCAAGAAATCGACTATGACAGTTACGGGAAACATCTGCTAGGTAGGATACCGCTCATAGTTGGAACTCTATAAGGTACATGAGCTTATCTCACATCTACCACAGCTATGGCCACCCGTGGCATGAGTATGTTGATTGAACACAAGTTATGAAACCATGCACTAATGGCTCAACTCATCCAGTACCAGTATGTGCTGGATCATTAGGAGAAGCTGTTCACTTAGTAAGTTCTGCTCCGTTTCTCATATTCTTAGATTATTGTACTAAATCTTCTTAGGATTTCGACGAGCGTGTATCCCTGATCCGCTTCATCAGGGCGCATTTGGATGCGGCAGGGCTGCAATCTACACCGATAGTCGCCGGCGTAGGAGGGCTCAATACGAGGGAAACTATTAGCCTATCCAAAGCTGCAGCGGATGCCGGAGCGTAAGTCAACAGTGAATCCGGGAGGCTGGTTAGATTTAATCTAACAATAGCAGAGATGCGGGGATGGTGATTCTACCTGCTTATTACGCTGCAAGTTTGAACACCGACATGGAGCAAGTCATTCAGTATTACGTTGATATTTGTGAAGCATCACCAGTATGGGTTATCCAAGATACTCCATTTGTGTCATTCCTAATGAAATGATAGATCCCACTGTTACTATACAACTTCCCCTCGAACGCCGGCGGTCAAGATATGTCATCAGAAGTCATCAGTGCAATTATGAAGAAAACAGCTAGTTTGTGTGGAGTGAAGTTGACGTGAGTTCTCAAAAATCTTTTCGCTGTTAGAACAGCAACGCTGATAAAAGCAGATGTGGTGGAAGCATGGGAAAGCTCATCCAGCTAGACGCTCTGATCTCGGAAGATCCCACAATAAATACGACCCGGAAATTCCCATTCTTGTTGCTTGACGGCCTTATTGCGGATCTCACGCCTTGGGTGAAATGTGGTGGCCATGGCACTGTTAGCGGTATCCCTAACTTTGTGCCAGTGGCTTCTATGAGACTCTGGTATCTTCTGAATTTGCCGATGGCAACAGATACTGACCGCAAGGAAGCAAAAAGAATCCAAGGGGTTCTTGCTCGGGCTGATGCTGCTGCGGTTCCAGGTGGTATTCGGGCAATGAGTGAGTATATTCTTGAAGGGTTTTGGTGGACGCTGAGCTGATCATTCGTAGAGTATGCGTTGAACAAGTTGCATGGGTATGGAATTGCTCCGCGAAAGCCATTGCTGCCGCTGAAGGAAGGCGAAGGAGAAGTTTTTATGGATGCTTTAGATGAGGCAATCCGACTTGAGTGTCAATTAACAGAGATAGATTCAACTCCATAGGCATTCTCACCAGAGGCGTGCACGAAAATATGTCCCAAGTTGAAGCGCCCCGAGATATCTATAAAGATTTACAAGTTTTACAGGCGAAGTAGGATTTTACTTCCCGCTAACCGTAGACTTGCGGCATTTTCAGGGCTTTGACCGCAACTTGAAGCACAAAATCATTCAATCACACGTTTTGAATGAATCTGTTTGGCCAGCGTAACCAATTTTCCCACTCAGGCCCTAAATACTCATTGATAGAAGATATAATATAAAGGCCGCTGTCTCCAAAGGTCCACATTTCACGGTGCATGTGTAGAAGAGCTCCAAAGTGGGAGAGGATGGCAAGCGCTTCTGATCGACGTTCCGAGAGCAGATCTATGTACTCTGGAGGGATGATGACCGGCCAAAAGATAACTGGGCCAATTTTGGAAACATTCGATAAAGGGGCGCGACTTCCATTATAGGCTTTTTGTAGATCTTGAATCGTCTGTTCGTATGCGGTACCGATCGCTGGATCACACGACATGGCATCCACCAGAGAGAGCAGCTCGAAACATTCATTCCCGGGGATACCCTCGTCTAGTGTCTTGCATTCACTTTCAAGGAAAGATTTCAGCGGTGACTGCAAAAGCATATGCCAGGACTGATTGGTAACTGCCCGAACCCCACGATGCATTCTCAATGATTGTATAAAATCGTCGAGAAAAGCTTCAAAAACATGCGGGCGAAACAAAAGCTTGTCGGAGAGGACGTGCATCGCCAGACATGAAGAAAAGAGTAACGTTGGAACGCAATTGCCGGGAGACAGGTCTGGTTTGGTGGCATTGAATTCGGAAAGAGCATGTGTTTGCAGCTGGGTCGCATGATAGTGGTAGAACTCCTGCCTATCCGGGCGAATGATACTTAAATGGAATGCAGCAAATGCGAGAACTTGATTCATAAGAAATGGCGCAGTCAATATGTATTTAGTCATGTCGATAGCAGAGTCCTCAAAAGAGAACTTGTCGAAACCCAAAAATTTCAAGATGTCGGTAATAAAGTGATTGAATAATTCTAGATGCAGCTTATTCACCGGGGGACTGTCGTCTGCCCTAGCGGCATCAGCGCAACTAGAAGAATTCGCCGACGATTCGTCATATTTTCTGGTAATGACCTTTGGCTTGGATTTGGGGGTCTGTATTAAAGGAATCGCCTTCGACACGAGGTCTTCATATGAGCAATGACGCTTTGAAACATTGCAGTTGACACATTTTGGGCGAGACTCATCACACTTGTGAGGTTAGCTACGAACGGTTTGTCCAAAATCTAGTACGTTATGATATGAAAATACCTTGATGTGGCGACGCTTGCACTCGATACATCCCTGCCTTGATTTCTTGTGCGCTTTTCTTGCATGTATCATACTTTTGTCTTTGGTGCCTAGACACAACTTGAAAAAGGCTTGTCTTTTGGAGCTTTGAACCAGAGAAATGCTGAACGCGAATAGAGTGCCAGCTTGAAGTATGACCGAGTGATGCACCCTTGAAGGGGTTTGCGGTTTGGGTAAGGCGCCAAAATCTCCGTTTGCCTATGAGAGCCTCAAGAAAGAATAAATTCTCTTTGAAATATTGATGCCCGTGACGGTGAAAATGCTGACTCAGCCCCCTGTCCATTCACCTGTGGACCACCCGACCTGGGCATCCACCTGCATCCATCCCGTGTGAGGCTATACGCCGATTGTGACATTTACATTATCGGTCTTTCCTCTGTACTAACCAATCGAAACTTGGAAATTCAGGTGAAGAGCCTCGATACTTGTCTAAAGAGGAGGGAAAAACCAATCATGTATTAACATCTGCAGCTGATCATAGGTACATCCAACTCTATCTGCTAACGCTTTGTCCAGCTACAGATCACTCCTCTTAAGTGCTGATAATTGATGTCCCGTTGGCGAACTAACATCTTAATCACACAGCTTGTAGGTCAACATAATCATCGACGACAGGACCCTTGCCCACAAGGATTTTTCCCGGATGTGAAAAGTGGAAGATCGCCTGCACAAAAAACATTGGAATCGCATCGAAAATAAACATGAAATATTCATGCGAGTATATATATCCATCGGTACCCCCGACATATTCGACGATTCGGAAAACACATCTCCCGATGACCAGTGCGGAGACAAGGAATAAGATATGGAGAAGGCGACGCCATGGCCCACCGATCATATTCAGACCAGCCTTGCGCAACCGAATCTGGAATGCAACAGAAACGTAAAGGAAGAATCCGAAGAAGAGCAATTGAACAACAAGTCCTACAACAAGGATCTTTTGCCCTATGCTGCGCATACTATCGATAGACTGCATGCCGCCACCAGCCAGCTGCAGGAGGAAGGCTGTAGTGTCGCCCGATACAAAGATTTTGGTTACTTTCTCGGGTGCCACGATAGATAAGTGAGGTTTGCCGACAAACGTAACAATTCGACCGTAAGTCATGTAGATTGTTGCAGCGTATAGCGATGGCGGGAGAATGATGAACATCGACTGGCATATATATGATACAAGACTATCGGGGTTTCGCGCCGATATCAAGCGGAAGACGTATCCTAGCGTCATCACTAGAGTGATATACTGGTTAGGCTCCTGATGTCCGATTCAGAGTTGTGCGAGTTGAGTACTCACTGAAGGCACCGATGAGAAAAGCAGAAAAGTACCACGTTTTTGTCTTCATCATTTGCCAAAGGTGAAAAAATGCACTTGTTCCGAACAAAAGCATTACAATAGTGGCCCCTGCCTTGGAAGGAACATAAGGATAATAGCCTCGAGACCCCATGACGCTGAAGTATGTTCACCGAGATGCCAAAATTTGTGCAGTATCGAGCTGGGAATCCCTTGAAGCAAAAGAAACCCAAAAAATTGAACGTAAAATATAAGAAAACTGAAACAAAAGAGTGCAGTCGACGATGCGAAACTTGGGCGTAAGGTGCAACGAGAGAATTGTAGACAGTTAGGTTGAGAGTCGAAAGTGAGAGATTTACAGATGAGGTATCCGTATTTGTAGCTTTGCATATGTCTGCCATGTCTGCCTACGCATAGCCAAGAATACAGCTCAGCGGGAAACTTGTGGAGTGGAGACAAGATCCACGCGCTGGGAAGACTCACTGCTAAACAGGCTAAGAGGATCAGGGGTTGTGATGGATCCGCTGCAATATGGTTTCTTCAATATCCCGTTCGCGTCCTAGTAATGTTGCTAATTTTATCTCAAAAGGGCTCTGAGACTACAGATATGTGGAGCCGGAAGGCTTCAGATCCCGAGAGTAACAAACCCCAAGAACAACCATCCTGATGATGATGAATATGGGTACAGTATCAAAGACATATAATTTCCATTCATCGCTCAACCGATATCCTTCATTGCCCATAGCGTATTCCACAATCCGGAAGATAGATCGTATGGGGATAAGCGCGCTGATACCGTGGAGGCTTTGAAGTAGCTGCTTCCAAGGGACAGAGATGTCAAAGACCCTCTAGTCGGCTTGCAACGCATCCTTGTCGGGACAACATATGCAGTGATAACAAATAAGCAATACCATCGTTTTTGATCCACCTACTTGAACCACAAATGTGACGATATCACTTAGGACGAATGCTCGTCACCCAATTCAAGGGAAGGACTGAGTTTTTCCTGCGTGGATGGGGATGAAATATTCGAGCAAGGACCATATAGACCGATGCAGCAAAGAGAGCTGGACCAGGAAGGATGAAGCTGCCTGGATACAATGAGGCATCAACTTGCCTGTATTATTGTGTACGATTCTGGTTGCATAGCCAATTGTTTCAACTATAGTGCCACATACCAGAGAGGAAATGGCAATTGGTAGTTTGAATCGTACTCTCTTTCGAATCACTGCCGCAACCATGGAGGGAACATACGTATTGCTAGACGTAGTAACCGCTTTTCGAAGGCTCCGATTTTGCTATTATCCAATTTTTTTTTTTTTTTTTTTTTTGGAATTTGAGGATTATTTGATCGGTGGACACTGCAATGAACGCTCTATCTCGACACCACAGAATAATTTGTACCCAGTTCTTGAGGAGAAAATTCAGTAAGATAATTCAGCAGTTCATCCGGAGGGCAACCGTATAATTTAACTCCCGGGGCCAATCGCGTTCATGGCAGTACGCGTACTCTTGAAGGCGTGGCTCTGGCCCCACTGAGCCTCCACGGTAAAAGGGATTTTGAAGGACAGTGCATACGCGGAACCTGTCCCTGCTTATTTGTCAATGGATATCATTATACCCACCCGGCAAGTGGGTCGTCAACTCCTTATAAAAGTGCTAGAAGTCGTGTCATGAGATTTCGATCATTAGTAGAGGTCGAATAATCTATTTAAAGAAGAGAAAGAGAGAACGCCAAAGGAAAGGTGTAGGTCTACATAACTTAATCTACGATACTAAGAAATAGCGCTGCCCCACATGACGTCCTATCGGTTCTCCTTATGGTAAAGAAAAAGACATGTAAGAAAAGATCTGTGCAGCCCTTTGTTACAGTAAGTGAACAATAAACAATACATATTTGAGCAATATTTGAATATTTCTAGGCTTTATTGGACGACAATCACTAGCAACAGCAGCATTCACATCATTGAAAGCATTCAAAGCGGGCAAGACCACAACATCTAGAACTGCCAGTTTTCGATCACTTAGGGCTGGTACGAGACTCACACCCCGCAGCAAATGTCTGCCTCCTTCTCCGCGGAGTTTCATATCCATTGTTTCAGAGTGTGCCTATATTTATCAGCACGTCGCTCATTCCTCATAGGTGACAAGTGGAAATGATTAGATTTCACCGTTCTCACAGGCTGAGTCGACAACACTAGCGTAGCACTCATCATTTCCGAATGTGATGACTGTTGCATTTTCATGGTCTTAGTCTCCCATGCATTTTCCTAGAGGCGATGCGACCTAGTGGTTTTCAACCATTCAAACATTTTGATCAAAGTTGCGGAAGACCAAATGATAGGATAGGATGCAGGCTGAAAAAAGGACGATGTTCAGCTGAAGGACTGCAAATGATTAATTTAAGTGAATTTGTCGACCCGCATTATTGTATTCGTATACTTGCCTTCGAACTGGTCAGAGTGGAATAGGTAAATATCCAATACATGTACTGTGGATCCATAGGTCGTATTCAGCCTTGTGAATCTGAGGTGTAAATGGCAGAATTCTCATGCTAGAAAACTGAAAATCATTTTAAAGATCACCGTGCGTTGGTAATTTTATTTTCCCGATAACATGGGCAATGGAAGTGGATTAAAATCTCTTATCTTTTGTTGGTGTTTTGCCTTGTTGAAGTTAACTAGCGCAATCCAAGTGGCCAATTGTGATGACTGTTATACGCGTATTCAAGTAAAAATGGGTTTTCAGATAGAGTTATTCTGTGGGTCCTGCATACACGGGACTGTGACCTGTTGGTTCATTCCGATGGGCAAGATGATGCGCCACTCTCCGGGTCAACATCAAAGATCTGACCAGTTGATTGGCATCATAATCAGGCTCTGCATCCGCAAATTGTTCCGAAGTCCCGTGCGAAAATTTATCTTACGTGCTGTGGTTCTCATCTTATGGACCGGGCACATCGCCGGACAAGGAAATTGCCACACTAGGAGTAAACTTGTCCAGCCGAGCAACCACTAGCGTCTTTAATTTTCCAAGCTGTAAAATTGGAAGCTCTTTAGTCCCTGAAATTGGACTAACGAGTTTGCCCCATACTTGATGTTTCTGGTGGGCGGTGGGCCGAATTACACCTGACTGGGTCTGGACACTCGGGACTAGCGTTTGGTAGGGTCTCGGACAGTCAAAAGTTCAACTCAGTTCGCCCCGACTGTGCTCAAATCAATTATAATAATTCTTCTAGTCCTTGGCCACCTCCAAATCAAAGGTTAGCAACCTCGAAACTTGCGTTTCGTTTTCACACAGAATCTTCACATTTGACAGTGGCGCTTTCTGTCCCTAAGTTCTCATGGAAGAAGATCCACCCCCAAGGTACTCCATACTGGAGGCCGCTGAGTGGCCCCAAGATGGTGAGCCTCAAGATGCAGCAAAGTTGAACGGTACCGCCAAAGAAAATTATTCTCAGCACCTGATAAAATGTTAACTTCTTGTAGACGATGGTCGCGTCGAGGTCGACCTTGACTCCAAGCTCGGCAGAACTCTCACAAAGCTGATTCCGGTCCCGTATGAGGAGAAGCAAGTGCCATTGACCCCAAATGATACTGTCTGTGATGTTCAATTGAATATTGTCATTCAAGTCGTCGGCAGTCGGGGCGATGTACAGCCCTTTATTGCACTTGGAAATGAGCTTCAGCTCTACGGCCATCGTGTAAGATTGGCAACTCATGGGGTTTTCGAGTCATTTGTGCTTGAATCAGGCTTAGACTACTATCCGATTGGCGGTGACCCCTCAGAGCTTATGGCCTATATGGTCAAAAATCCAGGTTTGATACCGCAAATGAAAAGTTTGCGCAGTGGAGAGATTCAACGCAAGCGGGCTATGGTGGCCGAGATGCTAAAAGGCTGTTGGGACTCGTGCATCAATGATGACCCAATCAGCAAAGCACCTTTCGTGGCCGATGCTATAATAGCCAACCCTCCCAGCTTTGCCCATATTCACTGTGCGCAAGCCCTGTCTATCCCCTTACACCTTGTGTTCACTATGCCGTGGAGCAGTACAAGAGCCTTCCCGCATCCGTTGGCTAATCTCAAATACACAACTACCGAGCAAAATATGGCGAATTATCTTTCCTATGGTATAGTTGAATGGATGACATGGCAAGGGTAATAATTCGTTCGATTCTAAGACATTGACCTAAAGCTCTGCTAACTTGAAATTTAGCCTTGGTGACATTATTAATAAGTGGAGGGCTTCGCTTGATTTGGAGTCCGTACCGGGAACTGGAGGGCCATGTCTAGCTGAGACTCTGAAGGTGCCTTTCACCTACTGTTGGTCTCCGAGCCTCATGCCGAAACCATCAGACTGGCCATCGAACATAGATGTCTGTGGCTTCTTCTTTCGCTCTCTTCCAGAATATACACCAGCTCCTAACCTCGATACATTTCTTCAAAATGGCAGCCCGCCGGTGTACATTGGCTTTGGCAGCATTGTGATCGACGACCCGATTTCTATGACGAATATGGTACTTCAGGCTGTTAAGTCACTCGGTGTTCGCGCAATTATATCCCGTGGTTGGAGTAAACTTGGAGAGGCTTCATCATCCGACGAACAGATTTTCTATCTTGAGGATTGCCCGCACGAATGGTTATTTCAACATGTCGCAGCTGTTGTCCACCATGGAGGCGCAGGGACCACAGCATGCGGCCTACGTTTTGGAAAAACCACGACTATCATTCCTTTTTTCGGGGAGTATGCTTTCCCTGATACTATGCTCGAGTTTTCGCCTTATACTAATTTGGATTAGTCAACTGTTCTGGGGTAACATGGTTGCGTCCTGTGGGCTTGGGCCAAGACCGATTCCATATCGATCTCTAAGCGCACACAACTTGGCAGAAGCTATTCGCTTCTGTCTTCAGCCTGAAGCGCAGTCTGCGGCTCGAGATGTCGCAAGACGAATGAGTCACGAAAATGGAGTTACCACCGCAGTTGCTTCTTTTCATCGTAATTTACCGTTGAATGACATGCGGTGCCACATTCTTCATTCAGAACCCGCCGTGTGGCGATTCAAAAAATCTTCTAAGCCCCCAATCCATTTGTCCAAAATCGCCGCGGGTGTTTTAGTCGAACATCATCGCTTAAAATTGAGTGATCTTCAACCGTGAGTATATTTATCAAACCAGCTCCCCTATGTGAATAATGTTGACTAGGAAGCAGTTACCATGCCCACCCAATTTTCATTCAGAATCGGCGATGGGATCCAGTCACAGGCACCACATCATCGCTGATCGGCACCAGCACCAACATACTGAAAGCTACGGGCGATATTGTATATCGACCATACCAGGAATTCCGTCGTGTCCCTATAAGCCAGTCAGAACTTAAGGTGGCCGAGTCATCTGGAGCTCTATCCCTCAGCAATTCTTCGACAGCCGGCACATATTCTCTAACTTCTTCCAGAGCAGAGAAGTCTTCGAAGCTGAGATCTACCGGCGTGGCAATGAAGGGCTCAGCAAAAAGCCTGGGGAAGGTAGTTGGCTTCTGGTATAAAGGCATGTTGATAGATATGCCTTTAGCCATGAGTGAGGGCCTCAGAGCAGTCCCCCGGTTATATGGCGATGAGGTTAAAGATCACGGCACTATTCAGGATTGGAAATCTGGAGCAGCCTTTGCAGGGAAGAACTTTGTTCATGGGATGGCAAACGGTTTCAGCGACATCTTCACCCAGCCCTACAAAGGCGGCCAGGAAGAGGGAGCCAAGGGTGTTATGAAGGGAATTGCAAAAGGTACCCTTGGTGTCACTACCAAAGTATCATCAGGTATGTGCATTTCACTTGCGGACTTCGTGAAGAGAAATACTAAATGACCAATCGCAGCCGCATTGGGATTGGTGGCCTATCCTGCCCATGGGATGATGAAGAGCCTGTATACCGCTACGCACTCCCAAACAAAGAAACGTATCCTTCAAGCGCGGATTCAAGAAGGAAAGTATTTGTCAGAATACTCACCAAAAGCGCGTAGCGATCGCCAGTCCATCCTTCGCAATTTTGAGGCTGCCCACCGCAAGCTTGTCTCCTCCGCCAGCTCATCATCAAGCTGATTACTTTTAGCCTTAAAATACATTCGCCTTCTTCATTTCAATATTTTTCAATGTATATCTTTAGATCGCTCTAGGAGGATTCCATATCCAACGGATTTTGTAGATAATCTGGGATCTGAACAACATGGAAAAATGGACGGGGCCGTGGTAGCCTAATGATCTACGTTGGCAACTTGGCAAATATTTGTATAGTAGGATATACTGTTCATGTAGCCGATGTATGCGGATGTGGGGCAAAAACTTCAAATGGTTGTGGGTTTTGTAAATTAATCTTATAGACGTATAGTGACGCAGCAATAGTTTTGACACCCCTTTGATTACTTAGATTCTGCCGGTTAAAAATTCGATTTTTCAACACCCCTAGACTGGTTTTCTGATAAAACACTTAACTGTTGCGGATCAGGTTGAATCTTGTCTTCTATAAAAGGCACTCACTGAAGCAAAAACGTTTAGAAAGTAAGATGATATAAACTTGCCCTTCAATTTGCGATAGGCGGTCTAGAAAACGGTCTAAAAAACGGTCTGTCCAATGGTGTCAAAACTATTGCTGCGTCACTGTATTTGGAATGTAGCCGTGAATGATTGAGCCGTTTATGATTGCCGAGCAAGCCCTGGTTCAATAGCATTACTTTGGTAACTCGGGTTCACTCCGTAGCTTGATTGCAGATGTAAAAACAGGGTTCAATAAAAACTCAATTCACTACAATAAAATGTGTCTGTTCCTACTAACATCATTCATGAATAGCTATCTGGAGCATCGTGTGCATAATATCGCAGGTAACCCAAGCTACATAGATGTATCTCAAAATGAAACGAATTCAAAGCGCATGGAAATATGTCCTTGTCAGGTTCAGTTCTGAACGGAAAGGTCGTCCTTCCGTTTTGCCTCAATGCGCACACTTCCGCGTTCCGCGTTGACCTTATCTTTTCACTCGGCATAGCAAGCCCGATTTCAAATCGTAATTCCACAGGTCGCTGCCGACACCACTCCAAACGAACAAACTCTCGCTAGGATCATACTTTCGTTTAATGGCAAGAAGTTTCTCGTAGTTCTTGCCGTAGAAATCGTCCTTCCAGGTACTACTGAACGGGTTGCCCTCGTTCATGTAGGAACCAGTATTAGGAGCCCAATTTCTCCAGACAGGCTCCTTGGCAACCTCGTACCAATCGGCGCCGGCTTTCAGGGACTCGCTTGGATCACCTGTTGCGTTTATCGATGCTCCCAATGTGAAAGTGTGAGTATATGCGGTGCGCCAAGCTGGGAGAACACTTCCACGCATATATTTAGGGACCTTAGCAGGCCCGCGGCCTCCTTGCAATCCAAACAATAACATCGTTCCAGAGTCTGGGTTCTCGGAAATCAAGGCTTGCTGGAGATATACTTTCAAATCATCTTGGGGTATGTCCGACAACTCCCGTCGGCCTAGTAGGCGACTGGTCATCAGGCTGACAGCGCCAGCAGAGTTGCTGGATAGCGGATTTGGCTTCACGAAAGACCAGTAGTTCTGAGTAGATGCCTGTTGTTGAGAAATGTTCAGGTAGCTGCCGTGGCCAATAGATGCGACCCGGGCTGCTAACTTGTCGACGATGGCATCCATGTGGCCAGTGGTCATATTGAGACCCACGAAACCAACAATTGCTGCAACACCAGGTGGTGCTTCAGTAAGGCCTAGAGCCATTGCACTTGTCTTGGTGTATGCGGTGACGTTTCCATTCAGACCACCGTCCATAAGATCCGGAATTGAAGAAACAACTTCCGAAAGAGCATTCCAAGACGCAGTTCCCCCGTTGGTTGAAGAGTTGGCGGCATAGAAAGAAAACCCACCCATGACAACATTTTCCGGTACAGGATATGTCTTCAGGACAAACTCTGTCACCACTCCGTATTGGCCACCGCCGCCTCCACGAATAGCCCAAAAGAGATCGTCATTTTGGGCACTGTTCGCAACAAGAACCCTACCATCGGTAGTAACTACCGTGACCTGGTAAACTTGGTCCGATGCAAGACCATAATGGCTCGACAAAAATCCATGGCCACCATTCTGGATCAATCCTCCGAGGCCAACTGTACCATCTTCACCACCCACGACAGTTCTGTTTTGACGATGAACTGCGGTGTAAACAGAGCCCCAGTTGTTGCCGCTACCACAAATGACAACATCATCGGTTTCATTGCGACCTGGTAATGACCAGGCACGTCGCCGTTCGATATGTTTGAAGTTGTGTGTCCAAATAGAGAGCGCGAATGCTCCAGTTGACCTAGGTAACGGAGGATCAATGACTGATGTGGAGATTAGGATCTTCAGTGATAACATACCGGCCGTTGAGATCATGTCCTGTTCCTTTCACCACAATTCGAATATTCCGTTGAGAGGCCCATTTCATTGCCTCAGAGATATGCTCCAATCTGGTTGCATTCACAATGTACCGTGGCAAGCCCCCGATACTGCAGCCTCTGCTCTTGCTCCAACCAGTTGCACCCTTTGGTATGCAAGAATTGTTTGTATAAATTGGGAAGTCGATGCTCTCGGGCCAGGCAGCATGATATGCTGAATAGGGCCATTGAGCCTGTATGTCCGTACAATTTTCAGGAGAATTGAATGGATTACCAGGATAGCAAGACGACGCAACAGGAGCAGTTTCTAGCAGAACTCCCCCGATGGAATGGTTAAGTGCAGCCCAATCGTCTGATGAAGGCCATGCTGAATCAGCAGGTGATACCTTGCAATCCAGGCTGGCAAATGAGGCAGTCAAAAGACTCAATAGCGGGTATATAGTTCTTGCGAAAAACATTGTCGGGGTTTTGCGGTCAAAGAACTTTTGACTTTCACATCATTCAAGAAGAGATTGGCCTTTATAAAAGATAAGAAGGGTCGACAATACGAACACGATTGATTAAAAGGATGCTATAAACAGAAATTGATCATCTACAATATCACTCCCGTTAATGAATCATCTATAGCTCCATATTTATCAGGGGGATAACACACGATCCCTGGCTACTGTTACTCACCCATGGACGACTCCGGCAAGTCATATAAGTAGCTCTGCTCCACCTTATTCGTATTCCGTGGGCCTCCTACGGTTGGTTTGGTGAAAACGGAAGTGAGCCAATCAGCGGGCGAGAAGTCCGCGTATCCAGCGATGGTTCGTATTCTCGCCGAAGCTCAACTCCAAGAATCCTTACATACCCGAATATATGTTGGCTAGTACGGGATATGTAATACTGATTAAATTGGATATGTCTCTAGAGAATTGACAACCTGTCCTTGCTCTGTTTTCAATGCCAAGAATCAAATTCATATAATATGACGTAGGCGCTGTTGCGTAGATCAATATGATTCCTACCTTAAGAGTACGAATTGAATTTCACATTTACCTCTGGTGTTTCCTGAGGCAACTTATTTTCAAAGTCATTTAGGATCACCCGCACCAATCAATCAATCAATCAAAGTTCTATTAATCTGTTGGAGCCTAACTAGTATCGTAATCGCTATGCAGGCGCTGCTTTCCGGTTGAAGCAAGAACTCGTCCGTACGCCTGATCGTGCTCTAGTACAGAACTTGAGCTGGTCCTCGAAACGAGAGAGAGTACCAGCCCTACATGTAAGTTAAATAAGCCAAGCCCCATAACCCCAGTACAAATGAGAAATTCAACGCTAATAAGCAATGAATGCAAAATGAATGCGTGGATGCACCGTCCACCACTCCTGTCTACAGTCTCACAAGATAAGTGCCCAACTTCTCCGGGACTCCGCTCCATGACCTCGCGGTCTCCGGTTTCATCATCAGACTCTTCTTCCTCTGCATGTTGAAACTGAGCAAGTAGGCCGGTTTGGTACCTGAATTTAGCAACGTAGCGGATTGCGATCACCCGCACTCGACTCGTCACTTTCGCCACTCAGCTCCTCACCCAGCACTAAAACTAATATGAATTTAGGCCGTTCCTCACTTCCACTAACATAGCTTCTAGCTTAAGCATTGATAGGGCAGCCTTGTCAACTAAGAGATAATACAGAACACTTCGCGAATGAATTTGGTTGAGTAGGTTGCACCTTACGGTCCTCAGGAGATTTCCAATCTTGGTCGGTGTCATCCATACAGTCGTCTAGTCTATTTAGCCTTGACGACGCCTGGGCTTGCTTCAACTTCTAATGCATTATATGGGGCTTAAACAATAATAGAGTCATTAGATACCTTTAGAAACGGAGATACATGCTTAGTTTCTACTCGCTAAAGATGCTCAAGGCTAATGTTCCACTAGGTTCCACCAAGAGACCCACTCTCCGGGCGTCTTGTCAACGCCAGTATACACGATGAATCATCCCATGTAGTACACACTATCTATCACCTGACAACCAGAATATCCCTGTTGGGCATTTACTACGCCCCCTTCGAACCTAATTATCCTCAGTGGGAGACAAATCAGCAGGCGGAATGCAGACACTCATTTTCCCAAACTACCATCCGTGAATCGAGTCAGGCCGCCAAATTCCTATCTAGCCAGCATTGCCCCCCATGCTATTGATTCCTTTAATATATTTTACAACCTCGGTGGTGACCTTGTGCTGTGGAAATTTATGTATAGTTAGGGATATGAAAGGAATTATGGTCTATGACTGTATCTGTATCTCTAAACCC